CTAAAAATCTAAACGAATTAATTTGAGAGAAAAGTAAAGGGAAATGGAATAATTGCCTACCTCCTGATTTTGAAGGGAAAGAAACGCAACAGGGGGAGAGAGTTCTTCCCTCCTTCCTCCCAGAAAAAGAGAGTGATCCCAAAGATCCTCTTCCTCCCTTTTTTTTTTCCTTCTCCCCTTTTTTCTTTTCCTTATTTTCCCGATGGTTCTCCAGCCCTTCTCTCTTTCTTCTTTTATTATTAATATATATTCTATGATTAATATTTTATATCTAGTGATATTATCTTTTCCCTCTACTTTGAATAAAACAATTGATACTTGTTTTGTAAAATCTTTCTAGTTTCAATTTTCTCTATATTTGTGCTTAGTCATTTGTAATAACGAGTACTATGATAATATACTAATTAATATCTCACATGTATCCTAACTACTAAGTCAATGAAAGTCGACACATACCCTCTAAGGGCATTTTGATCACTTCACATGTTAAAAAAAAAATATAGTAAAATTATACACGGGGTTGTAACAAGATCGAGCAGATGAAGCCACCGCAAAAGTTTAGCTGCCACATTTCACCTTGTTCAAAGGAGATGAAGATCCGAAAAGCCACCTGATGCACTATCGAATCGCCATAACCCTCTACATTAATAATGACACTCTCATGTGCAAGATCTTTGTCACGACGCTTCAAGGCGATGCCCAAGATTGATTCCACACCTTGCCGCCATGCTCAATCTGGAACTTCAGCGAACTTTCCTTGGTTTTCACTAATATTCGTCCTACCACTCGATCAAGAAGAAGTCTGACAACCTCTTCATGAAGAATTAACTGAATGAGTCAATCCACATGTACGTCAAGAGGTTCAAAGTGGAGAAGGCGAAAATCATCGGATGCGATGATAGCATTGCAAGCTTAACCTTCTGGAATGGGTTCCCAATAGCTCACCCACTTTTCGAAGAGCTAATCATGGGTCAGAACTTGACCCTGGCAGATTCTTATGCTTTGGTAGAAAAGTACTCTATTTAGGATGATGCTAAGTACTCTTAGAAGGCGCCTGAGCAACCGTGCAAAGACGTAGAGCCAACTTAGAAGAAGGCAAGTGATAAACCGCTCAATGACAAAAACAAGCCAAGAAGCAGACGTAGGGACCGATCCTTGGTGAATAGAGGCTCAGCGCCCAAGACGTACACCAAGTTCTCAGTCCCAATCTACCAGATCCTTCGTGACCTTAAGGATAAGCCATGGTTCAAGATACCACAACCCATGAGGGGGGACACCTCCAAGATGAACCAGACGAAGTACAGTACATTCCACAGAGGTCTGGGGCACACAACCAACGACTGCATCACATAGATGAAGTACATTGAGAAGCTCGTAAAAGAAGGCAAGTGCGACCAATATGTCGATAGGCCAGCTGCCCCACCAAGGCGAAAAGCAGACGCCAATGCTGAACCCCTAGCCAAGACGATCTGAATCAACAGTATTTTTACCGATCTGAGCATCTGGGGGCCACCAACAGTTTCAAGAAGAGGAAGATCCAACAGGCTAGATTGGTCTTTCAGGTTCAAGCTATAGATGCTGTACCTAGACTAATCGTCGGCTTCACCAAGCGGGACGCTGAGGAAGTAGACTTTCCACACAACAACGCCTTGGTGATTTCTGCTCAACTAGCCCACACCATTATTGATAGAATTATGGTGGACAATGGCAGCTTAGTCAATATTATACAACTGTTAGTCATCCAGAAGATGGGCCTGAAAAGCACTATCAACAAAAAACAGAGGTCTTGACCAGACTCAATGAACTTACCTCAACTGTCATTGGCACAATCACACTCGACGTAACTAGCCCTCCAATTGTCTCATTGTAGATCTTCATGATCATCAGCGATAAATCTTCCCACAACGGGATATTAGGGCGAACTTGGCTAGTGAAGATTAGAGATGTGACCTCAATCGAATATCAGACGATCCAATTTTACGTCCTGGGATGAGCAGTCAGAGAGATCAAAGGCGACAGACAATGTTTTGTAGATGCACTGTACAAGTTCTCAAGGAGTCGAAGAATAAGTATTTCGCCCGAGCAGTAGCAGCTAAAGTACAGAAAGATGATTCTACCTCCACCAAATAGCAATCATAGCAAGCGGGTCAGGAAGATGGCATCAAGATCAACAATGCCCTAACAGATGAATGAGGATGGAAACCCAAGCCGAACACATATTTCTTGACCCTAAGCAGCAATCAGACCACGCCGAATGCACAACCAAAGAAGATCTGAGTGATCCTGGATATAAAGTCCTACACTACTCTAAAGGAGATCTAAGGTCTCATGGCGAGCAGCTGCACTCAATCGTTTCTTCTCGCAATCCACCGATCGATGCATACCCTTTTCCAAGGCAATCAAGAGGGGACATAGAGAAAAATAGGACGAGAAGTGCGAGAAAACAATCTAGAACTTGAAGAAGTACCTGACATCACCTTACCTATTGTTCAAGTCGGAAGCAACAGAGGACCTATGCATCTATATAACAATATTTGAAGCAGCAATAAGCTCTACCTTCATACGAAAAGAGCTAGGGGCCCTACCATCTATATTCCACAGTTCAAAAGCTCTTCTCGATGCGGAAACCAGATACCCGAAAATCAAAAACTTTGATTTTGGCACTAGTTGTTGCAACCCGAAAGCTTTAAGCCGTACCTTTAGATGTACGCAGTCATGGTTATGACGCGATATTCTGCACAATCCAGATGCATGACGTTAAAAGAGTGAAAACTGGTGGACATTCTGACGAGTGCAACAACTCAGCCTAGAAATGCCCTAAAGATAACTGATCACACTATAATCGCACAACGAAGCGACCAAATACCAGAGATCGACCAAAGACCAAATGCCCTAAAGGTAACCTTATTTGTAGAAGATTTTCGGGGTTTACACGTCGATTGATCAACCAAATACCAGGGATCGAGAGCAGGTCTATAATCCTTACTACCATTGATGGTTCGATGCTTGAGCAGGTATCAATCTAAGCTTCAAGGCATCGAACAACGAAGCGAAGTATGAAGCCCTAATAGCAGGTCCCCAATTAGCGAAAGACCTCGTGGTGAAGAAGCTCGCAATCTAGTTTGATTCCCAACTGATCACCAACCAAACCTTAGGGAAGTACACAACAAAGCATCAAATCATACCCTGATACCTCGAGAGTTTATGAGAACATATAGCGACGTTCCAAGCATACACACTTAATCACGTTCTACGAGTAGAAAGAAAATTAAAATTCGATTATAAAATCAATTGAAAATATAGAGAACAACTCAATCACTAAGCCTAAGCTCTGCCTTAGACCATCAGCTCAGACGCTCCATCCTAGTTGAGCAATTGGAAAATCTGAGCATAGATGCGGAACCAGAAGTAGATGTGGCGCATATCAACACAACTCTAAGTTGGCAGAATCCCATCATTGACTATATAGTTAATGGAACGCTCCTCGTAGATAGACTGAAATCCAGGAAGTTCTAGATGAAGGCAGCACGTTACTACATGTGGAACTGCATGCTCGTTCGCATATCCTTTTCAGGACCACATATCCGTTGCCTATCACCTCCCAACGACCTGAAGATTCTTAGCTCAATCCACGAATGCATCTATGGAAACCACTCCTGAGGCTGCTCTATGGCACAAAATGCTCTTAACGCGGGCTACTACCGGCCAACCATGCATTAAGGTGCCAAGGAGTATATACAAAGGTGTGACATCTTACAGTTGCCAGCACTTCAAGCTCGTGCCCGCACTATCTGCCAACGAACTCCACCAACAGACGAGCCCTTGGCCATTAATGCAGTGGGCAATTAACCTAGTAGGACTAATGTCACTTGCCACTGGGGGTAGAGGCATGATGATCATAGCAATCGACTACTCACAAAATGGGTCGAAGCTGAGCCCATGACTACATTTACCCAGACGGACATAGAACGCTTCATATGGAAGAATATCATTTGCCACTTTGGCATCCCTCGCTCCATCGTCATAGACAATGGTCTGCAGTTTATGAGCAAAGACTTGGTGAAGTTCTTAAAAAAATACGACATCAAGCAGCACATGTCCATGCCCTGATATTTGCAGGGCAATGGGCAGGCCGATGCGTCCAACATGACCATTCTCGACTGCCTCAAGAAGTCCCTCTCAAACAAGAAGGGCAATGGACCAGACAAACTCCCTGGTGTTCTATGGGCGTATTACACCAACAAGAGACGAGCAACTAGCGAAACTCCTTTCTCCTTGGCATTTGGCTCTGAGGCGATCATCCCTCCCCACGTCATGAGGCGATCGTCCCTCCCAACGTCATGGTGAAAACATTGTATGGTATATATTTGCAGAAATATATGTGCAAATAAAGCCAAGTTGATCGAATTTTACTTTGCAATAGTTGGCATATGACTGGTACTATTTTGTCCCCGTGTTACGTTGTCCTAGAGCTCTAGATACGAAAAATGATCGTGTTTGTGTGTATCAAAAACAGGTGCTCGCGAACTCATCCTAGTTGCGTAACTCAAAATCATTCGCAGGTCTATTGTTTGAAGCTCAATCACATTACAGTGAAGCCTTTATTTCATTCTCAGTCGTATTGTCAATACAGCCAGATCATATTCCAAGCATCATTTCGACTGTAGAAGTGTTGATGGAACTTGGTAGCCAGTCACTCCCTATTGCGAGAAGCTTTCTAATGAACGTGCTGCGATTAGAACCGACGAACCACAAGGCATGGTTGAACCTCGGGTTGATTTCCAAGTAGGAAGCCTCAAAACAAGAAGCAGCCAACTTTTTTCAAGCTGCGCACGAGCTTCAGCTCTCAGCTCCAGTTCGAAGCTTTGTGTAATAGTTAGTGTATCCCTAATTATTTGCAAGATTAAGGGTTATTACTTGTTACACTAACCATTTCTTGGTATCGGATTCCTATGATTAGTATGTACATATGCATTGGCTACTGAAATATCAAAATAAAGTTTGTTGCACAGAAAAATGAATGGCCCGGATTGAATTATTAAGAGATGCACCGAAGCAAGAACTTACAACTGTTATTATTTTCTTGACATTCAATATACAAAACAAATGACAAAGTGAATGTCGATTGATAACAGCAACTGTCTGTTGGAGATCTGGAGTATTTGTTCTTGGCGCAAAAGGAATTGGCAGTCCACGGAACATGTTGAATCTGTATAAACACTGCAGACAAGTGAAGATTAAAAGTGAGAAATGAAAACAAAATTGGGGAACTATAAGATAATTCATCTCTACCTATACAATATACAGATAATCCATGTATCGGAATTGAAATGACTTGTAGGCAAAAATTTGAAACCATCATAAGCTAATAGTTTATGCAGAACTTATTGAGTTTTACTCGGTGGAACATTCATCGACTTACAGTTGGAAGTTGACGGAGAGACAGACCAAAGGCTAGGCCTCAACCCACTGACCACTGCATCCACATCACCACCAAAAAAATAGTGATTTCAACGAACATACACATCACAATGAGTGAAAAGGTGACAAAATTGAAACCGGCACATCATACAGTGCCTTAATAGGTCGTACACTTGGCATCATAAAAATTAGCATATAACCAGCAGAGATTGGCATAACCACTATAGGCCAGTCCTATGATATTATTGATTATGATGACAGTGTAGCTCAGATCATTAGCATCAACTTTCCAACAAAAGATTTGGAAATTCAGTCAGTCAAACCTTTAATACTGGTTCGCCTTTGTTAGAGCTGGCAGCTTGCTTTGCAGCCGCCTGTTGCTGTTGCTGTGCACGCGCAGCTCTTCCTGCTGCAGACTTTTCGAATTCTTCTTGCCTGAAATTGTGGTTGCAGTATAAGTGTACTCAAATAACAACGAAAGAAACCATCATGTGGGCACAGTAGTAATGCAACTACGATTCACACCGTATCAATGTGGCGCTATCTGCCTAACAAAATGCAAATATGACCTTTGGCAGGTTTTATGATTTTCACACTCTATACTTAGGTTTTGTTTGCAAGACTGCCGGTTAACAGAATTACCGCATAATGTTAGCACAGTTAGGTCTTGGACTTAACAAAGTTGAAATTCTGCAAGCAGAGACAATCCTATAGCATTGAAACAATTGCTTAAACATGAACAAACAATCGATAGAAATTGCGAACACAATCAACAAGATGAAGAAGATTTAACATGGTATTAATGTGGAATGTGCATTGTCCTAACAAGGTCTACTCAGAATTCTGATCATCAAATTCATCCTATTTTTTCCCTATCCCATCTCCAAACTACTCTAATCTACGAGGAGCGATATTTGAAATCGGGTGCCAATGGACGAATACACTGCTTAACCCACATCTGATTCCATATCCCTTTCCAAATTAAAAAAAATATATATATATATATATCTGAACTTTATCCCCATGACAATTACAAATCCTATCCAAAATCACATCTTTACATAAAAATTGATCAACTTGCAGCAACGATACAAATATACAATTGCAAACGAATTCAAATTTCCAATTTCGAAAAATGAAAAATGATCGAAATAAAAATTAGAAGAAAAAAAGAGAAATAAGTTTACCTTCTCTGGGCGGCTTGGGCAGCGTTGGCGAGAGCTTCCGCGGAGGCGGCCCTTTCTTCTTCCTTTCTCTGTGCACTGTTGCCTCCATCGAAACAACACAGCAGCCCCATCTCTCTCTCTCTCTCCCCCTCTCTCTCCCTCTCTCTCTCCTCAATCTGCGACTTCTGCTCCGATTGAATTCCAAATTTTCTGATACATTTGTTTATTTTTTTGGCAAGTTGTTTACTTATATTTCCCACCTCTCTGGATCATTTGCCGCGTGCCACGTCATAAAGCGAGGACAGTGTCGTCATTTGGACTGCATTATAAACAACGTCGTTTTACTCAGTTATCTCGGGGTGAAATTTTTTGCCAAATTACCATTTCAACCGTACCATATCAAAGTTATGCCAAAAAATTTGTACCATTGGTAATGGTGCAGTATTTATACCATATCATACATTTTCGCTATGATAATAGTATTCAAAATCATTACCAGTGATATACCGTACCGTATCACTACTATTAATATTATATCATTTATATATATAATTATGTATTATTATCATTATATATGCACTTTATATTTTTTTTCCTAGTCATTTATCCAATCATCTCACCCTCTAACCTCTACTTTCTCAATAAAAAAACTTAAGCCTTCTTGCGCTACGACTTTTCATCTTTTCACTCATCTAGCCATCGGCTTTATCTTTGTTGCTTCTGTTCCAGTGACTCTCTCTCTCTTCACATTCTATCTCATCTTCTCCTTCATCAAATTGAAATATATTTCTCCTTGGTTTCGTCTATCAAATTAATTTTTGTACAATTTTAAAGAATGTAGAGATGAAATTTAGGAATCTTTGTACTATTTTTTTAGGGATGTTGGGTTCTTTCAGCAATTCTTCTATCTATTTACTTTTTGTTTCTTAAACGAATCTCTATGAAATTCTCATAATGAAATAAAAACAGTTTTAGAAAGCCAAAGAGAGTGGCCAAAACACGTTTGGGCTTTGAATTGGGTTGGAAAAAAAAATTTGGCCCAAAAGAATGGTCCAAAACAAAATGGTAATTACCATTACCATACCATGCAAACCGAACTATTTGGCATGCCGAAATTCGGTATACCAAAAGTTTAGCATGGTAATTGTAATAGATTTTATCATAACAAAAATTTAGTTTAGTATGGTAATTGGTACATAGGTTTTGGTACGGTTATCATACCAATACCAATCCTAGTCAGATCCCAAACGCTGCGTTTGATAGGTTCTGCCTCGTTCAGTCCTTCTGTTCGGTGGGAGAGTCTGTTCCGTTACAGAAGCAAAACCCTAATCTTACATAGCGATGAGCGCCAAGCCTTTGGATTCGCTGCCTCCGACCGAAACCCTAGAGAATAATATAGAAAATGGCCGAGTTTCCTCTGGATCCACCCTTATCGAAGATGCTACTCGCGAGTGTGGAACTCTTATGCAGCGATGAGATCTTGGCCATCATTGCAATGATTCAGACAGGCAATATCTTTTACAGAACAAGAGAAGAACAAGCCAAGGCAGATCAGAAGAGAGCCAAGTTTTTTTTACTCGCAGTCTATGAAGCTTGGAAAGCAAGTAATTTTTCGGGCCATGGTGTTTCGATAATTTTGTTCGAAGGCTTGTTTAATGAAGCAAGTTATTTTCGAAGTATACAGATTGGGGAATCCCGTATTTTTTCCTGTATTTTTTTCGAAGGCTTGTTTAATGAAGCAAGTTATTTTCTGCCGGAAGATAGAAATGTTATTCCCTTAATTAAACTCAGGGTTTCCTTCTCCCATAGAAAACAAGTCTGAAGTTTGATCTTCGGCGCTGCCACAGACGACTGTATGAAGAAGATGGAGTACCATCCCTTGGTTTCCAAGGGATCTCTTCAGAGCTTGAAACCCATATTTAATTAGCTAATGTAAATATACCGTATTTTTTTCGAAGAGCTTGAGACCTTAAAACCCGTATTAATTATCTGAGTTTAATCAAGGGATCTCTTCAGAGCTTGAAATCCGTATTAAACAAGCCTTGGAAAGCAAGTTGTCGATGAAGTCAGTGCAACAATCAAAGTCAGCATCTGGGTTCTGTTCATTGTGTAAAAAAATGCAATTTCTTCATGTGAAACATTGGAGGAAAACCCAGTTGAGGGATCTGGCTTTGATGTGGAGAGTTGAGAAAGTGATGAACATATTGCAGGTGTGGATAGTTTTCATGGAGAAAGACTTGAATGCAAGTAGGAGTAGAAGACAAGGAAATTAATAAAATAATAGTCTAATAGAATAAAAAGAAAAGAAAATAGTGTAATAAAATAATATTTAATTTGACATATCAAGTGGAGAACAAAACTTTGAAAGATGTCAAAATACCATATAGGCTGTCAAATTCAAATTTTATGTGTAAAATTTGACATCTCTTTTGGAGATGCTCTTAGGCATCGCAGTTGATATGTCATCTGCCCTGTCAGCAAGAACTACCCAATCGTCTTGGTCTTATGTATTTGCCTTGTATGTGTAAACATTGTTAGGTTTGAAATTCATTAAAATTATGTTCCACTGATTCTTTTAATTGCATTTCAGATTCCGCTTTCCAAACCTTTTTCTATCATATTAGATCGACATTTCATTTGTATTTATACCATGAAGATTTCTTTATCACTTGTCCATTGAGTTGTACTTCCGGCCCGTGTTCCCTGAATGTAGTTCCACAGGGAGAGTTTGGATATGAATTTCATCAACTTATGATCTGCAGGTTTCAGTGGCTTATCAACTTTATGAACTTAAAGTATACAGATTGGGGAATCCCGTATTTTTTTCCAAGGCTTGTTTAATGAAGCAAGTTATTTTCTGCCGGAAGATAGAAATGTTATTCCCTTAATTAAACTCAGGGTTTCCTTCTCCCATAGAAAACAAGTCTGAAGTTTGATCTTCGGCGCTGCCACCGACGACTGTATGAAGAAGATGGAGTACCATCCCTTGGTTTCCAAGGGATCTCTTCAGAGCTTGAAACCCATATATAATTAGCTAATGTAAATATATCTGGGAGGGTCAAAACATTTAATTTATGCTGGATTTAGATTTTAAAGCATGTGTTTCTATGCCGGTTAAAGGACAAGGATGGCTAACTTGCTGCACATTACAGGAAAATCATTTCTTTTAGAGTTGTTAAACCGTGTTGGAAATTCAAATCAAAACAGGTTGTAAATGGCAGCTCCTAGCTGTTAGTTTCTTTACAGGTTTTATTCACACTTGCTACAACTACAAAGACTAAAGTTTCCTCCATGTGCCAGCTGAAAGTGTGTTGAAAGACATCAGAGAAGTGAGCTGCTGTGTGCTAGCCGAAAGGTTTGATTCCAACCTGGAATAATGCAATGCATGTGTGTGCCATACTATCCAAAGTTGCTGCATGTGTTTGAAAGGATGTAAAGATGGTAAACACCATCATTCATTGCAAGTGTTGTTGTATTGTTTATCAATTTCTGTTTTGTATAAATAGGCCTTCTTGCTAGGCTTTAGAATCATCCATTCCAATCCCATTCTCATTTTCAGCTTGTAAGCTTTAAGAGTTGTAAACTCTTCTAATATTTCAAAGTGTTTGTTATCACCAAGCTTGCTACTTCTTTCCTTTTGTTTGTCCAATTTTATTGAGAGTGCAAAGTGAGAGGTGTGATAGAGTTTGTAAACTTATCACCCACATATTTTGGTATTGAGTTAGTAAACTTTTCAACACCAACAATTGGTATCAGAGCCAGAATACCATTCTGGCAAGTGCAGCAGTTATGGCGTCCAACTTAGTGCAGCTCCAGGTTCCCACATTGAAGAAAGAAAATTACGAAAGATGGTGCATCCAATTCAAAGCATTGTTTGGATCACAGGAGCTATGGGAAATAGTCAGTAGTGGGTATGTTGTACCCACTACCGAGCAAGAAGCCACATATACTGCAGATCAAAGGAACACTCTCAGGGATTTACGAAAGAAGGACCAGAAGGCGTTGTATCTTCTCTATCAAGGATTAGAAGATTCAACGTTCGAGAAGGTTGCAGAAGCAACAACGAGCAAGCAAGTATGGGACACACTCAGTACAATCTACAAAGGAGTAGATCGAGTCAAGAAAGTGAGATTACAGTCACTTCGAGCAGATTTTGAAACTGCTCACATGAATGAAGGGGAGAGCATCTCCGATTATCACTCAAGGCTCATTGTGATAGTAAATCAGATGAGGAGAAATGGGGAGAGACTCGATGAAGTACGAGTTGTGGAGAAGATACTCCGGTCACTCACATCTAAGTTTGAGCATCTGGTGACTGCCATTGAGGAATCCAAGGATTTAGAGGCGATGAGCACAGAGGAGCTACTAGGATCCCTCCTAGTTCACGAGAAACGCATTCAGAAGAATGCAAGCCCCACAACGCTAGAGCAAGCTTTGGAGTCAAAGTTGAATATTGACAAACCAAATAAAGGTCGTGGGCACTCACGTCGTGGGAGTTCATCCAACCGTAGCCGAGGACTAGCTCGAGGAAGAGGTCGAGGCTATGAACAAAACCGAGGTCAATCTCAAGAGTGGAGATTTACCCGATGAAAGGCGCATATCCAATGTCACACTTGCAAGCAATATGGACATTATGCAAATGAATGTTCATATAAAAATGGTGAGCATGTCAACATGGCAGAATCAAATGGAAATGCTGGTGAGGAACTTACAGTCTTACTAGCACACCATGATATCAGTAGCCAACAAGATGTTTGGTATTTAGACTCTGGTGCAAGCAACCACATGTGTGGAAAGAAAGAGTTTTTTGCAGAACTTAAAGATGGGCCTTATGGATATGTGAGTCTTGGTGACTCCTCAAAGTTGCCAGTTGAAGGCAAAGGAAAGATCAAAATCATCCAGAAGGGTGGTAAAGAAGAATACATCTCCGATACCTACTACATACCAGGTATGAAGAGCAACATTCTGAGCATTGGTCAACTGCTCCAGAAAGGGTATGTTGTACATATGGAGGATATGTTTCTCACTCTCAGGAATGCAAGGAGAAAGCTTATTGCACGTGTTCAAATGTCAAAAAACCGAATGTTCCCGTTGAAGTTGAACACAAAGATTGGGAGTTGCAACATTGGTGTAATGGAAGATGAGTCATGGAAATGGCATCTTCGATATGGCCATCTTCATTTCAATGGCCTAAAGTTGCTGTTTAGTGGAGGAATGGTTCGTGGTCTACCCCAGATTGAAGCCACACGCCAAGTATGTGAAGGTTGTGTGCTTGGCAAGCAAGCACGACTATCATTCCCTGTTGGTGATACATGGAGAGCAAAGGCACCACTGCAGATGGTACACACGGATATATGTGGTCCATTGGATCCTATGTCTTATGGAGGTAATAGGTATTTTATTACTTTCATTGATTATTTTAGTAGGAAGACTTGGGTTTATTTTCTCAAGGAGAAGTCGGCTGCCCTAAAAATCTTCAAGGAGTTCAAGGCACTCACAGAGGCTGAAAGCAACCACAAGCTTGTGGCTGTGAGATCAGATAGAGGTGGAGAGTACACCTCCAATGCTTTCCAAGTATACTGCAAGGAGCAAGGAATTAGGCATCAACTGACTGCTGCCTATACCCCACAGCAAAATGGGATAACCGAAAGAAAGAATCGAACCATCCTTGACATGACAAGGTCCATGCTTAAGGAGAAGAATTTGCCAAAAGAATTGTGGGCAGAAGCTGTAACTTGTTCGATTTATTTGTTGAATCGATGTCCAACAAAGAGTGTCAAGAGGATGACACCACAAGAAGCTTGGAGTGGATACAAGCTGAGTGTTGCACACCTAAAAGTTTTTGGGTGTGTTGCATATGCTCAAGTTCCAGAAGCCAAGAGAATGAAGTTTGATGATCGAGGTGAAAAGTGTGTGTTTGTGGGCTATAGTGAAGAGTCCAAGGCATACAAGCTCTACAACCCACTAACTGGCAAACTAGTGGTTAGTAGAGATGTCATCTTCAGTGAGGAAGAGGCATGGAAGTGGAACAACAAAGAAGTCAGTAAAGAGAAGATCGTCTCCACTGATTTTGAAGAACCAGAAGTTGTACCACCTGTTGAGCAACAACCTGCTCAAACAACCACAACAACTCCATTACACAGAACTGCAAGGAGTGGTCCTACATCTAGTGAAGAAAGCAGCTCCTCAACTCCAGTGAGGCTAAGAAGTCTCACTGAAATATATGGACAAGAAGAAGAAGAAGAAACCAACCTTTTATGCTTGTATGCAGACCACGAGCCTCTCTCATTCAATGAAGCTGTGGAAGAAGATCGTTGGAGAATAGCCATGGAGGAAGAAATCCATGCCATCGAGAAAAATGACACTTAGGAGTTGACAAAGCTCCCACCAAATTAGAAGGCTATTGGTGTCAAGTGGGTGTACAAGATCAAACGCACTGCAGATGGGAGTGTGGATTGATACAAATCAAGGCTTGTAGCAAAGGGCTACAAACAGAAGTACGGAGTGGACTATGATGAAGTTTATGCTCCAGTTGCAAGACTTGACACGGTAAGATTGCTAATCTCTCTTGCCGCTCATCATAAATGGAAAATTTATCAACTAGATGTCAAGTCAGCCTTCCTTAATGGAGTACTTGAGGAAGAAGTATACATGGAACAACCAGAAGGCTTCCAAGTACAAGGAGAAGAAGATAAGGTGTATCGTTTAAAGAAGGCTTTGTATGGCCTCAAGCAAGCACCACGAGCTTGGAACTCAAGGATTGACAACTACCTTCACCAAAATGGATTTCAGAAATGTCCATACGAGCATTCAGTTTACATGAAGAATGGTGCAAAAGAGGAGTTCTTAATTATTTGTCTCTATGTAGATGACTTGTTGTTTACAGGAAACAATGAAGCAATGTTCTGTGAGTTCAAGCAATCCATGTTCAGTGAATTCGAGATGACTGACAATGGATTAATGTCATACTTTCTTGGCATAGAGGTGAAGCAAGAAAGTGACGGTATCTACATCTCTCAACAAAAGTACATGAGAGATATATTGGAGAAATTCAATATGGATAAGTGCAATATTGTCAACACTCCAGTTGCAACTAGATTGAAGCTGTCTAAGGAAGGAGAAGGTGAGTTTGTAAACTCAACCTTGTACAAAAGCTTGGTTGGAAACCTAAGGTACCTTACAATCACAAGACCTGATATAGTTTATGGAGTTGGACTCATGAGTCGATACATGGAAACACCAAGGGAGTCTCATTGGCTGGCTGCCAAGAGAATTTTGAGGTACATAAGAGGTACTCTAAACTATGGTCTATTTTATAATTTTGGTGAAGATGAAAAATTATTTGGTTATTCAGATAGTGATTGGGGAGGTGACCAAGATGAAAGGAAAAGCACATCTGGCTATGTGTTTTTTCTAGGATCAACAGTTTTCTCATGGACTTCAAAGAAGCAATCAATTGTTGCTTTGTCATCATGTGAAGCCGAGTATGTTGCTGTAGCCTCAACAGTGTGTGAGGCAATTTGGTTAAGAAATATATTGAAGTCAATGTGTCATCCACAAGTGGAATCGACTGTGATTCATGTGGATAACATGTCTGCAATCAAGCTTGCAAAGAATCCTGTTCAACATGGAAGGAGCAAGCACATTGATACCAGGTTCCATTTTCTAAGGGACCATGTGAAGCAAAAGACAATTGAGCTTGTCTATTGTCACACGAAGGAACAAGTGGCAGACATCTTCACAAAACCCCTGCCAGTTGAATCATTCCGGCTGCTACGTGAAATGCTAGGAATGAAGGCGTTTTGATTTGAGGAGGTGTGTTGGAAATTCAAATCAAAACAGGTTGTAAATGGCAGCTGCTAGCTGTTAGTTTCTTTACAGGTTGTATTCACACTTGCTGCAACTACAAAGACTAAAGTTTCCTCCATGTGCCAGCTGAAAGTGTGTTGAAAGACAGCAAAGAAGTGAGCTGTTGTGTGCTAGCCGAAAGGTTTGATTCCAACCTGGAATAATGCAATGCATGTGTGTGCCATACTATCCAAAGTTGCTGCATGTGTTTGAAAGGATGTAAAGATGGTAAACACCATCATTCATTGCAAGTGTTGTTGTATTGTTTATCAATTTCTGTTTTGTATAAATAGGCCTTCTTGCTAGGCTTTAGAATCATCCATTCCAATCCCATTCTCATTTTCAGCTTGTAAGCTTTAAGAGTTGTAAACTCTTCTAATATTTCAAAGTGTTTGTTATCACCAAGCTTGCTACTTCTTTCCTTTTGTTTGTCCAATTTTATTGAGAGTGCAAAGTGAGAGGTGTGATAGAGTTTGTAAACTTATCACCCACATAATTTGGTATTGAGTTAGTAAACTTTTCAACACCAACAAACCGAACGTATAACATTTTGTATACAGTGTGGTCTCTTTAGCATTACTCCACTTTTTTATTATATAAAAGTTAGTACTACTTTGGTAAAGTTATAAAAATAAAAAGAAGTACAAATACAACTTGCAAAGCGGAATCAAAGCTGTTCTGTCTATGAACATTTTTATTTTTCCAACTCACAATCAATCATGTTTTTGTGATAAAAAAATGAAGTAAAAAAGAAGAGAAGGAAGCACTACACAAACTGTATAATATAACTTTCATGTCATCACAGAATTTGGACCCAGATGCCTTCACTTGGAATTTGCTGATGCACCACATAGAGAAGATAATATCCGGAAGGCGCAAGATTACCGGAACCCGGCGTCGTCACCTGAACTTGGTACGTCATTGTCCCTACCTTTTTTACGGTCTCCGCCGCAAGAACCAGCAGCCTCTGATTCATTGAGAAGGAATGTGTATTAAATGACGGCGCCACTATCGTCACCATCACCAAATTCGTTGCTATGCTTCCCTTCAACGAAAACCGAATGAATAATTTTTTTCCGTAACTGATTTTAGCTTGTGATTTGGGATCAACGATTCTCGGACGCAACTTCGAGTACTTGGCATCCAAATAATCAGTACTAAATGCCTCTAATCTCAATTCTGTTGGAAATAACTCATCGGCTAACTCGTATTTATCATGAGGGTTACTACCTCCAACGAGCACCCTACCATCACGTAGTAATACCGCGGTGGAATGGTACATTCGCGGTATTGGGGCAGGGTTTTGTTTTTCAAACCGTGACCCAACAGCGTTATCTGGTCGGTACACAAGTGGTTCGAGCACAGGATTCTGTCCGAGTTCCCAACCCGCAGTCCCAAAAGATGCACCGTTGATGATCACAACCGTGCCATCTGGGAGCAATAACATGTCACTCATGACTCTAGCTTGAGGCATAGTCTCCACAACCCACTGCGGCTTCGGGTCGTTTATTTTGATCCGACCGCATGTGTTGAGAGCTTCCACAAAAGTACCCTTTATTGCCTGGATATAAGACCCTTTTGGAGCTCCACCGCAGACCAAAACCTCAGCCTCAATAGACGGAGCCGTCAAGTTCCTTAATGGCAGCAACACGGCTGAACCGGTGCTAGGGTACGACCTCGGGTCGCCGCCGGGTATTTGCGGGTAGGTTTTAACGACTTTGTTCATGACATAATCTAAAAGAATTGCTCGATTATTTGCGAAAATGAATAAATTCCCATCGACATTGAGGAAAACATAAGGGTAAAGATTGTTTTCCTCGTTGGGGTCGTTAGTCTGCACAAGGAAGGGCAAGCTGTAGACATTGCTCGAAGACTCGGTCTTCGGATAAAACTCGTAGTTGAACTGCCGCCTTCCGCCGATGATGATCTGCCGTCCGTCGGGCAGAATATGATCGGTGGCGTACCAGCGGCTCACGCCTAAGGTATTCTCATACTCCTTCCAATCACAACCAGTGCAGGGCTTGAAAACCCTAACGCGGCGCTCTCCTATGTCGTAGCCACCGGTTTGGATCAAGTTGCCGTTGGGGGCTACGGAGCCGGAGGAGCACCAAATGTCGGATTGAACCGTGAGGGGGCGGACGGTATTAGTTGTGACGTCGTACTCGGCGGAGTGGGCGGTGCAGTCGTTTCTGACGCATGTACCGTTGGGTAAGGACAAGTTGGATTTGCCGAAGTCGGTGCGGTCGAACATGATGACGCGGTCGTTGTAGAGGAGTTGCATGTGCATGGCGGAAATGCCGACGTTTTGTTGCAAGAGCTGCCATTTCCCACCAGCAGCGTGGGTAGTAGTGAGAGAGAATTGAAATGACAAGATAAATAATGAAAAAATCATGAGATCAGAAACTAGACTAATTGGCTTCATTTTTTTTCCTTGTGTTTTTGGTATTTTGGAGCTCTTAATTTTCTTGGGTCAGAAAATAGCTTTGAATCACTAATTTGTGCTTTAGCTAGTGCTCTGTGGGTGTGTCTGCCTCAACCTTGGCCTCTTTAAATAGTAGGGTTTAAGCTACCAAGAGTAATGTCAGAGGGAGATTTTTTTAACAAAAATGTTATTTTTACCATATTTTTTATACTACCAAATTTGTAGTATCTTTTTAAACCACATGTGTAAACCCTATATATGATGTGGTTGTTGACGGTTGGTCTTCTTATTTAAAATCCTCTTTAAAGAGTAATGCTAAATAGATCAATTTTTAAACCACATTTACAAACCATATGATGTGTTACCAATAAAAAATAAGCACGTTAATCAACAATTAAGTAATAATTCAATTATCAACATCTAGTGAATGCATGATGGCCAGGATGAGGGTGAAATGCCTTTGTGAGTTTTTGTGCCTCTGGAAGGGTGAATTGCAATGCTCGGACTACAATGGTAAGCCCCCAGCTGATCCTCTTTTTAAAAAAATTATCAACAATCATGTCATATGATTTTCAATAAAAATATATAACGTAATATTTTATTCAAACCTCCCTTCTATAGAACAAAAAAAATCATCGTTTTTTCTAATTATATTCTTACTTAGCTAAATCTCTCATCTAGGACCTTGCCTGGGCCAGCAAAGTTTCATTCCAATATTCACTAATATTTATATTTTTGGTAATATATTCACTAATATTCCACTTTGACAAAGACCTGAACATTCAGAAGCAAAAACTTGAATAATACACATGCAAAAAGAAGGAAGCTTTTGCCATAAACAGCCATACACGAATCTACATTGTCATTTAACACGTTTTTATTAGCTTTTTCTCTTTAACGCATATATGATTTAAAGATCCGCAGACATTTTTTAAAAATAATTTTTCTCCTTTTCAAAAGAAAAAAAAAACTCCAGATTACAACTTTTAATAAAACTTTAACAATTAAGGAACGATGACCAGGTTTAAGTTAGAATTCAAAAGGTAGGCTGCGTGGCTGCTCGAATCAGTTCATTTCTTTTGGTGAAACCAAAACAAACTGTAAAGAAACAATATTCTCTGCACATATTTGCTGAGGTCCTTAGCTTTAAGCAAAGCAAACATTCTGCTAATTAACGAAAATAATATTTTACAGGGATATGTTTTCTTTAGTTTATTTTGATGATTATGTTTTCTGGTCAGACGCGTACACATCCATGCATTCTTCCACTGAATTTATAATGTATTTATGATCTCCTTCTTACAATTATTGAAAATCGTTCTATTTACATTATCAGCTCAAAATGGTCGGATCGTGAATAAAAAACAGCACGACTTAGTATATATACTTATTATATGTAATTTTTTCAGGCAACGCCTTTATCGTTTTTTTCGTTGCCAAGATCATTTTTCTTCTTGATCTTCTAGTATTTAAATAACTAATTTTTTCTTTTCTATTCTCATTCTACAATGTCTTCGTGATGATCATAACTGTATAATTTCTAGTTCAACCTATAAAAATTAACTCTAACGTTGTCAGAAATTCAGTATTTAATAGTATAGCATGCTTCATTTACTTATTTGATAACCGTTTGATGGCTAAACTATTTAATATTTAGTTGATTTTAGTAGAATTGATATTGAACTGGTGACTTAATAAATAGATAATTTAGATCATCGCATAATATTGTAAAATGAGAAAAAGAGACGAAAAAAGAATGAGAATGGTCAGATAAGGAGGTTTCTAGCTTTCCTGTCCAATTAATTAATTTATCAACCAAACTTTTTAGTCCGGTTTGGACAGCGGACCATATAAAAGTTGAAGCTAGTTCATGAACCCAGAAGAATAATTTAACCACCATGCGTGCTTTTAACCACCAAACCGTATGCGTCAAACCTTAGATATATTCATGAACTAACAAGCACTAGAGGGAATAAATCAACTTGCTTACCAGCAGGAGACATAAACATTGCTGTTGGAGAGACAAAAAAATATTACTGCAAGAAGTATTATTTGACGAGGACCTTGTTAGCCTAATTAATAGTTGGAAACACTTTTTTGGACAGGGATTGACAACTTGGTTCTGCTACAGTTTTTTTTTTTTTTTTTTTTTTTTTTTTTTTTAACTCTTGAAAAATCAATGGTTGAGATAGCTTATTGGTTTTTATCGATGGCCAAAATATATCAACAATGAAAAATGATTTTTATATTTTAGTCCTTACATTTAGGAATTATACTATAAGGACTTCCCATTGCAAATAATATTTTTTTAGGGACTCGAATATTTCTTTAAAGTCCCTAAATGAGTCCTTAAAAATTGGTGGTGGGAGTCTCTAAGTAGAGGCTCTCATTGGAGATGCTCTTAATAGGAAAACTACATATTTATACCACATTGTTATATCATATCATATGACAAGTGATGTACACAATCAACATACAATAAGATTTTATTAAATGTAGCATGTACACATCACTGATCACATTAGATGGTACACCAATGTGATATTCATAACATTTTTCTTTTAAAGAGAAGGACACCATGTGTATTCCCTCTCTCTCTCTCTCTCTCTATATATAATAAAATATAAAAAACCTTAGATTAATGTTTTACAAGTCATTAGAGCCCAATTGGCCCCCACAAGGCACAAGGTCCATATTTTGATCAATTAATGATGGACCCTCAATTAATATTTTGAGTAATCAAGCCCATTTCCAAGTCACTTCTAATTACCAAGTCATATTGGTATATGCGTATGAGTGGTGGTAAGATCCTGGACAAAACGCCTAGTTTTATTTTTGCTTCAAACTCAAATCTTAAACCCCCTCCCCAGGTTTGATCTTGGAGGATGTGTGATTGCATAGCCTCACAAGTGCAGGAAATTAGTGTTACTTATATTCCTCTTCTTTGTAACGATAGCTAAGTTTGGCTCTCAGTTGGGAGTTCTTTAGTGTGGTTTGAGGACCCTCTCAATGTTTGCACGATGTTCTCTTCCAAAACTTGTTACTAAGTTTGGTATCAATAAATATCGTTCTATTAATAAATAAAAAAGAATATGTGCATACATTTAAGTGAGATTTCGCTGAAACAGATTTATGTTAATTTGGTATTTACTTTATTTTACTTTTCGTTTTTGACTAAATACCAAATCTGAAAAATAAAAAGACTCACGTCGTCTCGCTAAATCTGAATCTCGAAGGATTCTAAAACCCTAATTTTGTTCATAACTCAAAAAAATCTCCCACTTTTTCTTTTAATCTGGGATGCTCTGAATCACTAAACCAATGGATCATAAACATAATTTTTTAAGATATCCACGTTTGTATATCTCTTATCCATTTCTTCTACTTTTTCCATGCTAATTTTTGTTGTGCTGTGAGAATAAGTTCATTTTTTCTGCTTCACGTTTTCAGCTTTTTTTCACTTAAAACTGTGAAAATAAGTTGTTTTTAAGTGTTTACCAAACACTTTTTTGAGCTCAATTTTTTTATACTCACTTTTTATAAAAACATCTCAGTACCAAACCAGTACTAATTAGCATTGAATTAATCTATTAATGTTCATACCCTACTATTCCATTCTTGAAAGTAGATTTTTCTTCTCATATCGATCTTTAGTTTTTATGAATTTCAATTTAGTTGGTTGTTTTCCTTGTACACACAAACCTTCACTACCAAATATAAATAAATTTGTTCAAAAATTTAAAATAAATAAAAAATCTTGTAAGACGAAAATTTTTTGTCGGATTAAAAGGGGTTTCGTCACCTAAAACTTTAGGCAATGGACAAAGTGTCACGTAAAAATTCTCAGCCTTTCATGTGAGTGGTTCTTGTTCGTTTCTCGTTTGTAGCCGCCGATCCTGGTTGCAGCTGAGATCGGTGGGTGCTCTTCTGTTTTTGCTTTCGTCCCCCTCTCTTCTCCCCTCCAATGCTTCTTTCCCCTGCTTTCTGGTTCACTTTTCCCTTTTCCCCTCCCACTGCTATCTCTCATCCTCCTTCCTCTAATTTTCGATCTTTGGTCCAGTTTCGCTGCGCGCTGCGCCTTGTTGAGTCGGTGAGATCAAATTTGGTGCTTGCACTGAGTAAGGTGTTCCTAACACCCCCACCTTCTCTTTGTTGTCTACCTTGGTTGGCAGTGTTGCTCGTGGATTTCCACGCGCTTCTTTATCTTTGTTGCAGGTTGTTGTTGATTTGTGGCTGTGTTTGGACTGAAGATTGGAATTGGTTGCTGGGTTTGCTAAGGCACGGCTCGATTGGGAGATGGGATTTGGGCGTTGGTCGCGGCAGTGGTTGCAGCGGGGGTTGCAGCGGTGTTCTAGTTTTCTGTTTTCTTCGGATCCAACTTTTGGTTAAGCTTGTTTTGGTGTGTTTGGTTGGCCCCGTTTTGCTTTGTATATCTGTTTTGGGCCTTGGTTGTAAGTTTCTGTTGTTGCAATAAATCTTTCACCATGTTTTGGCATGGTGTTCTTCCAAAAAAAAAAAAAAACCGTTGGCCGAAGTAAATAGAAAAGTCGTCAGAAAAAGGTGCATTGACCGCCTTATTTCAATTCTAGTGATTCTAAAATTCGTCATTTTAGTAAACTAGCACAATCATCATACGGACAGATCCCAGCCGGATCTCCCCCACTAAGTTCTAAGGATCTGGAGATCTGGACCTTTGAAATTTGATCTAACGGCTACAATTTTTATCACTTTTAGAAGGTCCCCTGTTTGTAGTCGTTGGATCAAACTTCAACGGTCCAGATCTCCGAATCCTTAGGATTTGGTGGGGTGAGATCCAACTGGAATCTCTGTCCGCATCATACAACTATAACTTTTAGAAAGCAAATTTAGCCTCGTTTGGTGTATGTGATCCAATTGGATTGAATAATTGACATTCATTATTGCACGTTGAGGAAGAAATTGATGTCAATTTTTAAGTTCTGTCCAAGTTAAAAATAGAAGATGAATTAATCACGAAAGAAACTTCTCACAATCATATATGTTATTTTTATGGGAGAGGGATGACTTAACTAATTCATTTTCTACCCTCCACGATAAAATTTGGAAATC